TTCAGTATAATCACCTTTTGCCCTCAACTTTAACCTGTTTATATCTCTTTGTAGCCTTTTTGTCTCCTCCTTTCCCCCTAGCTCCATATTTTCAACAAAACAAATTTAAGGAACAGAGAATAATGTAACTAAATCAATAACATGGTTTGTAGATGGTTAAGGCTCCAGCTCTCATTCACTCAATGAGTAACTAGGTGTAATTCCAGTATTCACTGCCTGCCAATTTGAAAATGTCCCATTTATTCCCACACTGCTTCCCATCTATGAACCAAACCTCAGTCCATGCTACTGTCTTAGCCACAACGTCATGAGCCTTTATGTTGCTCTTAATCCTTTCTGTGGCATCTCATAGAATGCCTTTTGAAGATCTGGGTGCGAAACATCTGTTTGGTCTCCATTATCTAACGTACTAGTTAAATTCTCAAAACAAAACTCCAATAAATGTGAAACAGGACTTAAGTCTTCCGTAATAATAGATTCCAGCACTATCCCAGTAACTGATATTGGGCTGACTAGCCTATGGCTTTCTCTCTCCTTCTCTTCTTGAAAAAATTGGTTAACCTCTAATTTGATGAGACCATTCCCAAATCTCAGGGAAATTAGGAAAATCATGGCTAGCTATCCATGATTTTGGCAGCTTTCTCCTTTAAAACCACAGGGTATAGGCCATCTAGTTAAAGGGATTTGTCAGATTTTAATCCTTGTAGATTCTCCAATACTTTTTCTCCATGTATTTATTTCCTTAATTTCCTCATTTTTAAAAGATATTAAGTTACTAAAAGTTACTGGAAAGAAACTACTATTTTCTAAAAAAGACAGACAAAATATTTGTGTCATGTCATTGTTATTTCCTCATTCGTCATGATAATTTCTTCAGTCTCTACTTCTAAGGGACTAATGTTTCTTCAGCTGCTCTGTTTCTTTAAATACTCTTGTATCAGTGTTTGCACTAATGATAGAAAACTCATTAGGGAATTATTGCAAACCTCTAGAGAGCTAAAATTGTCCTGCTCTGCATCAATTGCTTATGCCAAGTGTTCAACTTAAAAATCAAACTGGAGCATGGTAATACGATTTTACTTTAAATAAAATTCAGCTGAAAACCTATTTAAGAAGATTCACCATGAACTTTCATGAGAACTAGGGATGACCAATAAATGTCAGCCTTCCTAATGATATCCACAGCAAAGTTAAAGAATCAGCTGAGATTGATGTAATGATTGTGGCATTAAAAATGTTGTGGGTTATAGACAAATTACATCTTTAAATGGATTGTGAATTCTGCAATCGGGGCCATTGGTACAAGCTCAGTTTTAAAATAGGTGTAGAGATTTAGTGTCAATTGCTTTACAATGTTAAATATGTGTGGATCGATAACTGGTGAATAAAATGGTTTAGGTGGTAAGTGGAGTACAATATCTGATGCAAAGTATGCATATATTGACATTGGGCTGATGAATAAAGTGGGCCCATTTGGTCGTTTATGACTCATGAATCAGCTGATACTCATTTTGTACAGTAGCATTTTGGGCTCAGGGGCTCTTGTGGAGTGGTAGTGACCCCACCTCTCAGCAAAAATGCTCAGATTCAAGTCCTACCTGCTCTAGAGGTGTGTAATAACTTCTCTGAACAGGTTGATTTGAGAATTTCCTCAAACTCTGGATTGCAATCTCAGTTGGGAGTTACAGAAACAAAGAACCTGAGGTTTTCCTCTACCATTGAAACTAAACCCAACACCAAAGACCAGGTGCCGTTCATCCCTGCCCTCACTGTGCTGCTCTCAATCTTGAGACTTTTTTTCTTCTTCTCAAGTAAATTTAAAAATGGCCACACATCAGTTCAGGATGCTGCACCTCAGCTGGTCACTACTGGTTGATTGATCTGTGTGTGTTAAGAAGGAGAAGTGTGTGTGTGTGTGTGTGTGTGTGTTGAGAGAGAGAGAGAAAGACAGGGAGAGGATTATAACAGTGTGGGGAGGGGACGCAGGAGGGGGAGAGGGCTGGATGCGTGAGAGAGAAGGAATGATTACAGTGCGTTTGGTGGCAGACAGAGCCAGGGTTTTTACAGTCTGTGTAGGTGGGCAGAAGAGCTTTACTGAGTTTTCTGTCATTGGAGAATATGGAGGATGTGGCTGAAAACTTAGCGGTCAGTAATTATCCCACATTATGTTTGATACCCGTTTGGGAGTGATCCATATTCATCCTAAAGCCAGACCATGGTTTGGGAGTAGAACAACTCCACCTTCAGGTAAATGACTTGCCATTCACAATCAAATTGCAGTCTTTCAGATTATGAATTTTTTTGTGTATTTTGAAACCCTCCATAGAAAATTCCAGATTCATTTGTCTTACACTGAAGTCAATGGTGTCAAGATTGTCTTTAGGAATCCTTGATAGTCTCCGTGCTATAGGAAAGATGTTCTTCACCATGAAAAGGTTCAGAAAAGGATTTACAAGGACATTGCCAGGGTTGGAGGGTTTGAGCTATAGGGAGAGGCTGAATAGGCTGAAGCATTTTCCCCTGGAGCTTTGCAGGCTGAAGGGTGACCTTGCAGGGGTTTGTAAAATCACATGGGGCACATATAGGGCAAATAGTCAAGGTCTTTTTACCAGGGTAGGTGAGTCCAAAACTAGATGGTAATGGTTTAAGTTGAGAGAGGAAAGATTTTAAAGGGGCAGCTTTTTCATGCAGAGGGTGTTGTAATGTATGGAACAAGTTGCCAGAGGATGTGGAGGAGGCTGGTACAACTGCAACATTTAAAAGGCATCTGGATGGGTACATGAATAGGAAGAGTTTAGAGGGATATGGGCCAAATGCTGGCAAATAGGTCTAGATCAGTTTAGGATATCTGGTCGGCACAGACGAGTTGGACCAAAGTGTTTGTTTCCATGCTGTATAGCTCTATGTGATGTTGCTATAGATCTGTAATGTTGAATGCAAATATGAACACTAATTGTTTCACTGCTTCTGACCAAGATTTGTGATAAAGTAATGGAGCAGTGAGTACATAACATTATAAGCTTTGCGAAGTATTTTAAAAAACAGATTTTTATGTTTATAAAGCATATTAAAAATACATGAGCTTAATAATATTGAATGTTACTATGTTGCTTTATTGCTGTGTGATTTTTTTTGTTGGCATCTTGTGAGGTGTTAAAATGGGGTCACATTGGAACATGGTTTGGGAAGCACTGGCCTAAGCTAGTGTTTGGAAACAATCGCTGGGATTTCCTACTCTGGCAAAAGCCTTGAATATCTTCAGCCTGCAAGCCCCAATTCCCCCACCTTGACACCAAATGATTGTTTTTCAGGTAGCTTCCTTTGATTCCTTTGGTCAGGTATGGAACACTTTCCAAATACATGACCTCCTGCTTTGAGGGTCAAGGGAAGCGGGTGCATGATGACACTATCAGCTCTCTTGTACAGCCATCCTCACCTCCACCCCAACTTTTACCCTGGCCTCATCATACACTACACTGAACTAGGTGACATGGTCTTGTTCTTGCCTCTTCACTGACTCAAAAACATGTAACTCCCTACCTGACAAAATCTCAGGAAACACCTTCACCACAGACTGCAGTGATTGGAAAAAGAGGACTCACTTTCTCAAAGACAACTGGGGATGAGCAATGAATACTGACCTCACCAGCAATGCCCATATTCCTAGGAAAAAATCTTTTTTCAAACAAGTCAGGTACAGTTACAACATTTAAAAAACATTTGGAAAGGTATATGCATAGGAAAGGTTTAGAGTGAAATGGGCCAAATGCAGGCAAGTGGGACTAGTTTTATTTGGGAAACTTGGTCAGCATGGATGATTTGGACTGAAGAGTATGTTTCCATGCTGTGTGACTCTTTAAGTCTATAAGTGGAGTAGGCCTGGGGCACTTGTCATGGAATAAATCAGGGCTAACTGCAGCAATTGCCAGGAATTTTAGTCTTGAAACCTACATAAAATTAATTTTTGCGGGGTTTGAGTTTCTAAGTTAAATTAATTAGGACTCCCAAAGACCACAGTAAAGTCAGATGCCACGAATGAACTCCTGGTCCTTTTATTCAATACAACCAGGGCCAAAATCACAGAATATAGTCTGAGTGAGGTACTCAGGTCAGTTGCACACCCTTTGATATAGGCTGATGCTAGAAATCAGAAACTGAAACACAAGGTCCTGGAGAAACTCAACAGGTCTGGCAGCATCTGTGGAGAGAGAAACAGAATCTCTCTCACTCCAGAGATGTTGTCAGATTTGCTGGTTTCTCCTTCACTTTGTAGGTTTCAGTGCTGGTTGCATGGTTCTTGACCTCTCTCACACAAAACAGGAAGAGGCTGTTGAAGGGCACTTCCACAGTCTCCATGTAAATGGCTAGAGGGTACCCAAGATTCGCATCTCGCATGAAAAGACAGCACTTCAAACAATACAATACTCGCTAATGGTCAATATGGTCTCTGTCACTTATGTTTTAAGGTCCGGGTTTGGGCTCGTATCCACCACTTTCCGCTTCAAGGCCAGGGGCTCTATTTTGAAGCGTGGTGCTACTTCCAAAGCAGAAGTCGTCTCCGTATACCGCAGAGGCTGTAATCTAGTTCAAACGAGTGCAAATCAACAGCACCCAGAAAAAACTGTAGGCTCTACACCGTTGCCTTGTCAAAGTGGAATGCGTGAGGCTCAGCGCACAGACCTACACACATCCGAACACGCAGTTCATGTTTTATTTTCTAAACTGGGGGAGTTAAGGCAACTGGCGTTTTCTTTGGGAGCGAGCCACGAAGAAAGAACTGAAGTGGTACTTTCTACTGTTTCCATTTGATGTTGGTGAGCTCAGCCCTGGGGACTGCCCCATGTTGGAAACTTGAAATCAAAGCGGAATATCCTGGGGAGAGAAACTGGGCAAAGTTAGAGCTGGGTACAATTGCAGTCGTCTTGCCATTCACCGGATTAAGCCTACGCAAAGCCAAAGTTCAAACGAGCCACAGAGTGCACGACTGGGCTGCTCCTTACCTTCAGTGTGAACAGCAGACACATAGGTCCAGTTGTACCTCTGTACAATGTCCAGCATGGCCCTGGCTTGGAGAGTGTCTGAGGGAACAACCCGGAGGAAATATTGAAAGAGGGTCTTGTCGCTCAGGTCGATGCTTGTGGCGGAGTAAGCGATCTGGGGAATGTTGAAGAGTTGCAGAAGGTTCTGGACCTGAATGGCGACAGAACTGGAGCCTGGTCCTATGACCCCAGCTATGGGCGTCTTGGCCTCTGAGCCCGGTCCTTCAAGACATTGCGTCAGTCCATCCCTTTCGTTCCTCATGGAGATGAGGGAATCTCGGATGAACTCGATGCTCTGCTCCAGAGCCACGGACGAGTGCCAGCAAGAGTCTCGGATCTCGCAGCCCAGGGTGATGTTAGGCAGGAGGTTGCGGTTGGCGTTGATTTTGTCCAAGGTGTGGAACATAGCCTCCACCCTCTGGATCCCGTACTGCTCGCGAATTTCTCCGCATTTCCTCTCGGGCACTTTCTCGGCCGGCGGCTGGTGGTGCACCGAGAACAGAGCCCCTATGATCACGTCACCGTCCATTCGCGCCACGGAGCGTTGAACCGAATTCATAGACAGCAGGACTCTCTTACCCGCCTCTGGCTCTTGTACACACAGGGTAGCCGGAATAAGGAGCATCCACAGGGTCAGCATGTCAATGCCAGCCTGCTTGCAGCTTCCCACTCTTCTCTTTATAACCATCCTTCCACCGCAGGTATTGAGACAAACCTTTTGATATGGAAAAGGGCATTCAGTCTGTCCAGATATGCAGTTGCACCTAGAGAACGGGGGAAAATTGATGGTCACCAACTCCAGACAGACAAATCTGTTGATATAGATAAACCTTATAGTAAAATGGTTTGAGGAGGGTTGACTTTTACCGTAAACTAGAATTTTGGTGTCAGAGCGACAGTGAAAGCAAAAGAGTATATAAAAAAATTAAGTCAAACTTGCAATCTATTTTTAAAAATTTGATTTCTGTTTAAATTGGAGCCGATGAGAACTCGGCTCCCTGTGCGTACAGATCTGTATATACTAAAGATATGTGGACTCGCATATCTCGCAGTAGACTGTTTTCAGCAAGGCTCAGACCAGAAAACACGACCATTGGCGGATTTCAAGCTGCCTTCAGTTGGGACAGTTGTGTGAGGAACATCCTTGAAATCAGTAACTCAAAAGGAAGCAGCCCGCTATAAAATCAGCCTTAAAATTGGTTCGATTCCAACGTACCTACACGAACAGAACATTAGGCTTTTTGGCATTGCAGCCTACTCATAAGACGGTCAAGATCCAGGTTAAGATTCATCATATCTGCAGACTTACAATTTAATACGTACTTCGCATTTATTTAGTTCGCCGCGGCTCCCCGTTGAATTTATGGGATAGTTAAACCACACTTTTTCAAAATTGTACCTTTTGATAGACTCAGAGAGTTTTAATACCTGGGTCTTGAGCAGACATCTTCCAGAGACAGTTAGTTTCAGCACCGTGGTCAGCGCCAAGCCATTTCAACTCTGCGAACCGCGCTTGCTAACTCCTTAATTAAGTTCCTCGTGGTTTCCTCGAACATGGTTAACACCAGGCACGGGTCCAGTTCCGAGTTTTAGGCAGGTTACTGGCAGGAGTTCAGATCGGCGACACAGCTAATGTATCCGGGATGTGTTGCACAGAAACGCAATGAGCAGACTTGCTCACACAAGACGCGAGCAAGTCAAGACAACATGGGAGTGGGGTGGGGGTGTCATGTCGATGCAGTTACTCGAGTGTGCCAACAGATTATACATTTCACAGCCAAATCGCCCATTCCCGAGCAAACCAGGATTAGGAGCTAAAATTCGACACTTACCTGTGATCATTGCGATGATCACTGTCCTCTCTCTAGCCAGGCGCTCCCAATTCTTGGGTCCGCTCTCACTTGCCGTCGGCTCGGCTTACTGCAAGGAAGTGTCTGCCTGAACACTCCTGCCCTCTCTCTTTCGCTCCATTTTACTACAGAGCTGAAATCAGGGCATCTCCAGCCGCCAGCGTTAGCTTACTGTTTGTGAACGAATTAAACGGCGCCAAAGTCAAAGGAGACCGCCAGCAACAGAAACTCCTGCACGAGAAAGGATCGACCCCCTCCCACCACCTCAACAACAAGACTAAGCCAAATCGTCCATGTTAATTTTCGTTAAAAAGGTCTGTCCATGATCTGCACAGGGAAATCTTCCTCCCCGCCGAAGTAACCTTTCTGCAAACTTGCATTGGGAAATAGTGCTTTGCGCTAAACTCATATAATGATTCAGTGCCAATCTGAATTAAGAATAAAATCTGAAGACGAAATCATTTGATTCTCATGGCAACCGTTCCCAACTGTTCGAAATGTCCCAGTTTCTTATTGTGACCGTAGTTCAACAGCATGGCAACTATACGCTGTGCAAAAGGAACTTCCATGTGTTATGAATGCTGGATTGATTGACCAAAGGAATGACTTATTGTATCCAAAGAAAATAGAACAGTTTTCTAAGAGGTCCTCAGTGGGCACGGCAAAACTTAGACAAAACTCTAGCTTGAATAAGATTAAGAAAACCCCTACTTTAAATTCTGATGATTACTCTAAAACCTTCATAAATCATTATCCAATTCTAGGCACCACATCCTAGGAAGGATGCCAAGGCTTTGCAGAGGGGTTTATGAGAATGTATTAGGGCTGACAGACTTCAGTTTATGTGCTGACACTGGGGAAGCTGGGATTGTTCTCCTTAGAACAGAGATCGTTACAGGAGTTTTAATAGAGATGTTCAAAATTCTGATGGTGCTACCTTAAAACCATGGAATTAAAGGGATAGTGGCAGCATGTATACTTAGTTGGGTGTTGGGAGAACACAGAGTAGTGGTCAATGTTTGCTATTTGGTGGGGTCCCCAAGGGTCAATACTAAAATGCCTGCTTTTCTTGATGTACATATTTGGGTGTATATGACACAATTGCAAGATGTGAAGATGAGACAAAACATGAAGTACAATGAACTATGAGAAGGATAGTAGTAGACTTCAAGTGGATGTAGACAGGCTAGTGGACTGGGGAAAAATATAGCAATGAAATTTAATGTAGAGACATGTGATGAAGAGACACGTTTTGGTTGGAAGTTAAAAGAGAGAGAATACAGAAAACAGCATATGATTATAAAGGTTGTGCAGATACAGTGACCTATTGTAGGTCTTCCCAAAGTGGGGGTCAGGTCCCCAAGTGGGGTCATGAGTTCAAATTTTGGGTTGTGAGCTCTGAGAAAGCAATGACTACTGTGGAGCTCAGACTGAACTATAACAGCTGCACTCTCATTCTCATATCATTGAATTTTCAGTATGGAAGGAGGCCATTTGATCCATTGTGTCTGTACTGGCTCCCAAAAGAGCTACCCAGCTATACACATTAGCCAGCCCTATAATAATAACCACCATCATCCATTTTACATTCCTCATTGGGGGTTATACAATCTCAAAATTCACCTTGAAAACTCAGCAAGTTTATAATTTAATAAATCTGTCCCTCTTACTGTCAGGCTTTCTTAGTCACCCAGATTATCCTCACAGGAATACCTCACCCCACTGACACAATTCTCACTGAGAAGTCATGGCCATTTTCAAGTCCCGATTTAGAGTCACAGTGAAGAACTACCTAGGGGATATGTGCGCTAATTGTTAATGGTAGAAGGGAAATTTGAGAAAGTGCTTACACAGGCAAATAAAATCCTTGGTTTTATAAATGAGATTTAGGATACAAAATCAAGGGAGTCATGACTAGGCTTTAAAGAACACTAGCTCAGCACAAATTGGAATAATGTGTCTAAATTTGGGCAGTACACAATATTAATGAGAATCTTTCTGGGGATGGAAGACTATGTGAATAGGTTGGAGAATCTAAGGTTGCTCTCCCTGGAGAAGAGAAGTTTGAAAGTTTTGATAGTGTTTAAAACGACGAGAGTCTAAACAGACAAGATAAAGAGAAGATTTCCAGGATCACAAACCAGAAGGCCTCAATTTAAAGGTTTGCAAAAGAACCAAAAAAGTGACTTGAGAGAAAATGTTATTACACAGTTAATGGTTCAGCAATGGAGGGTCCTGCCCAAGACAATAGATTCCACCATAGCTTTAAACAAGGAATTGGATAAGCACCTGGCAAGCAAAGTTGAACAGGGAATAGCAAAGTGTAAGGGAATAGTATTAGTCGAGTTGCTGTTGCAGAGAGACAGGAGATAAAATGGAGTGAATGGCCACATTCTACGCTTTAACTTTTCTATGAGTCTATGTATAAATGGTAGAACAGATAATGGAAGTTGTTCCCTCTAACAGAAGAGTTGGTAAACAGCGAACACTGATTTAAGATTGTTTTGCAAACTCTCAGAGGTGTGAAACCAAAATCAGTTTAGGCAGTGATTTTCTATAATCATGAACTCAGTACCTGACATAATTTTTAAAAAGGAAATGGATACTTGAAAGTATGTATAGGAGGGATGCATCCTGGAGAACAGTGAAGACAGGAAGGATATTATGAATGTTTGGTTCATTATCTTCCAATCCTCCTTTTGTCTGGTAATAATGCTAGAGGACTGGAGGATTTCTGGTTTACACCCATATTCAATAACATGAGAGGTCAGTCAGGTTAACGTCAGCAGTGGGAAAGCATTTAGAGACAAACATTTGGGACAAATTAATTGGCACTTAGAAAAAAATGAGTTAATAAATTAAAAACCATGTTTGAATGACTTAACCAGCTCTTCGTCAATGGAATAGAAACATAGAAACATAGAAAATAGGTGCAGGAGTAGGCCTTTCGGCCCTTCAAGTCTGTACCACCATTCAATATGAGCACAGATGATCATGCAATCTCAGTATCCCATTCTCACCCTCTCCCCATACCCCTTGATCCCTTTAGCCACAAGGGCCACGTCCAACTCCCGCTTGAATATATGTAATGAATTAACCTCAACAGCCTCCTGTGGGAGAGAATTCCACAGGTTCACAACTCACTGAATGAAGAAATGCTTCCTTATTTCAGTCCTAAATGGCTTACCCCTTATTCTTAGACTGTGACCCCTAGTTCTGGACTTCCTCAACATTGGGAACATTTTTCACACATCTAGCCTGTCCAGTCCCTTCAGGATTTTATATGTTTCGATGAGATGCCTCCCTCATTCTTCTAAATTCCACTGAATACAAGCCCAGTTGATCCAATCTTTCCTCATCTGTCAGTCCTGCCATCCTGGGAATCAATCTGGTGAACCTTCATTGGACTCCATTAATAGCAAGAATGTCCTTCCTCAGCATAGGAGACCAAAACTGTACACAATACTCATGGTGTGGCCTCACCAAGGGTCTGTATAACTGCAGCAAGACATCCTTACTCCGATAATCAAATCCTCCCGCTATGAAGGAGAGTATGCCATCAGCTTTCCTCACTGCCTGCTGCACCTGCATGCCAACCTTCAGTGACTATTCCACCGTGACACCCAGATCTTGTTGCACTGCACCTTTTCCTAAACTGCCACCATTCAGTTAATAATCTGCCTTCCTGTTTTGGTGACCAAAGTGGATAACCTCACATTTATTCACATTATATTGCATTTGCCAACAGTTTGCCCACTCAGCCAGTCTGTCCAAGTCACATGGAAGCCTCTTAGTATTCTCCTCACAGCACGCATTGCCACCCAGCTTAGTGTCATCTGCAAATTTGGAGATATGGCATTCAATTCCTTCATCCAAATTGTTAATGTACATTGTGAACAGCTGAGGCCCCAGCA